AGGAGATAAAAGAATGACCTGAATAAAAGTGCTAGAAATCTTTGAAAGATTGTGCTTTAAAAAGAGGTGAGAGAAGTCCATAAAATATTAATGCAACTGATGTAGTGGATAGGAATCAATTGTTCATTGTCTCTCACACTGTAAGAGCCAGAGTTCAAATGAAGCTAGCCAGGAGCATGTTCAGCATCGACAAAAGGAGATGCTTCTTTACCTGAGAAGTTGTGGAAGTCTTTGTTACTGGATGTTCCACATGGGAAAACTTTGGATGGGTTAGAGCAGAGTCTGGACAAGTTCATAAATAAGAAATCCATCACTGGTTACTAAGAGCACAGACCTCACGTTCAGCTCAGGAAGCTGTTTGTCGAAAAATCGGGCACTGGGGAAATGTCTTCTACACTTGGCTTTTGCTCAGTACTAAGAGCCCACTTTCAGATACAAAATACTGAATAGATGTGGATTTAGTCTGATCCACTGTGGTTTTTTTATGTTAGCATATGCTGTATTTGTCTGTGTTTTTATTCTGAAACAAGGTTTTAAATTGGTTTTAGCTAACTGAAAACCTGCTACTAACTCAGGAGCATTATGTTATACTTCTTGGCTAGTGTAGGGCTTGGGAGGGAAAGAGGAAGGGTGCATTAAATATATTGCTTTGCTTGTTAAATAGTGCAGGTGACAACTTAGGATTTATTGTCTACATGATATATATTATTCACAAATGAAGTTCTGGTCTAGCCTGTCTTGTTAGAACAACTTTCCTGGGAGAGTAATAAATCCAGAGGCCAGTAGCATACAGATCACAGAACAGTTGGGACAAGGAATTTCTGATTCATCTGATGAATTAAGTCATTTGTTTTTAGTTGAAATGCTGCTATTCAGACCCAACTGTACTTTGATTTCAGTATCTTTTTGTTCCACTTTTCATTACCATCACCCTAAAAAGATTTTAAGCCCAACCAGCAGACGTTTCCCTGATAGCATTTTCTTTAGAGAAATAAGCTGCAATACTGGAAGTAGGGAAGTTTTTGAATTCTTATTTCACATTCACATGACTTTGAATATATCATGTAAATATCTGTGCTGTGTCTAAATTGAAGATAACAGGAATTATAGGAATGCTTTTAAGGTAAAGTATGTAAAATTCTATGAAGACTTAAATTAGGATTTATTAGTGTTTTTGAAATAGTAGGGATGGGAAGATCATGCACGTGTCTTAGGTGCACAGAACTATTTATGTTTTATGGTTAGCAGAAATTGACCTCAATATGGATCAGAATACATGGGATGGAAATATAGTCTGTGCAGATGGGGTTTAGTCTTTCAGCAGTATTCCTTGTAGTACCTCATGAAAAAGGAATGTCTGCTTCCACCCAGCCCTAGAAGAACACCTATCAGGACCTATTCCTGCTACTCAGAATTCCATAGGAACGGAACTGTTTGTTTCATATGCGTTGTAGTTGTTCTTTTAGCCTAGTGGGGAGTGGCTGCTGCCTCTGAGCCACTGCCCTGGCAGGTGGTGCTGTGGTGTGGCCTGGGTGAGTTCCCCCAGATCTGGCTGTGAGAGCTCCGATTGACTCTGCAGCATCTGTGGTACAGCCAGGGGAAAGAATCATGCCTGCCTAGCTGCTGTTCAGCCATACGCTTGGGCTCCTGAAAACTGTGCAGTGAAATCTGGGATCTGAGAAACTGTATTTCTACAGGTGAGACCTACCTATAGTGAGAGATGAATAACAAAGGATTGAAACAGCCCCTGCCCAAGGTCTGGGTGTTGTGAGTTGAATAGAAACGAGGCACTGCTCTGAGACGGGCACATGTTAGTTCCTCTCACTGCGGGGTTCTGGCACTTTTCTTCCTTAGAGCAGTTTTATGTGGTTGCCTTAAGAGAACTCAAGTACCAATATATGCTCTTTTTTTTTTTTTTTCCCAATTTCTAGGAATGATCAAAGGTATTCATAGGAATCCCAAGTAGAAATTGCTGATTACCAAGAAAGGGAAGATACTCCTCATTTTATTGAGGAAGTAGAGCCACGATGAATTGAAAGGACTTTTCCTGAATCGCAGGAGACTTAATGTGGAGCTAGAAATTGAGCCCAGACTTCCTGGTTCAGTTCACGGTTTTAGTCCATCCTTTTCCAAGTATCAAGTATGTACACAAGACTCTCCAATTTAATCTTCATATTAGCTTCCAGTGCTACAATTCAGTTCCTCTGAACTTTGCCCTCTCATTCATTTTAGCAAAAAGGCAAACATTTGGCCATTTGTTTCAATAGTGAGTAGAAGCTGTTTTATATACAGATGACGCTCTCCCCTCCATTCACATGCTTCTCATCCTAGTATTAGAAGGCCTGCCTGTGTCAGCAAGGGCCTGTTTAAATTAGAAACCAAATCATGTTTCAGGGAAGCCTTGGGCTGTCTTGTGGAAAGGGTTCTTCTCAACCCCTGCCAGTTACTACTTGGTGGTCCTGCCAATCCTTGCTGAGTTTCAAAACAAAAGTTGCTCAAGCTCAAAGAGCACTGCTTGCCCAGCGTAGGCAGCTGGATGGCTGGTGAGCTGGGACGGAGCAAGGCCCAGTGCTTAACCAGGCACAGCTCACCAGGCCATGTAAAGGGACAGGAGAGTGGCACTGTCCTCATTGTTAACATTCCTCTTCTGTGAGACTTTTCCTGATATTTATTTAATAAACCCAGGCTCAGAAAGTCTAAATGATTTGAGCAATCAAGTGGTTGCAATTTGGATTTGTATATGAAGAGGACACGCAGCCAGGCTAAGTGAAGGCTGAAATGCGCCACTTCTGACTTCTGCAAAACCAGCTGTGTCCAAGAGTGGAATATGCAGTGACAGTGCTTAGGAGATGTGCTTCAGGCCAGGTTTGCAAAGCCACACCTCCTATTTAATTGTACATTGGTGCAATTTTTTGCAATACAATTGCTGGTGTGATCTTTTTCAGCCACTGTGGAGAAGTTTCTGTTGCTGCCAGTGAATAATATTCGTCAACTCCAGTTTGATGTCTCCTGCCAGTTGCTGCAAAAGTCAAGGACGTGGTAATGCTCTGTTTTCAGAGACAGGTTCTACAGAACTGTCTGAAATATGCCTGCATTTCCATGTCCCAGCAACAGATGCTTGTAAACAGGCACTCCTTCACATGTAGGAAGGAATTCATCCAGAGACTGCTTTGTGTAAAGGTTTATTCTTCCTTTCTGTAGAACCTTGCCGAGAATTTCTGCATGAAGTGGAGGAAAAAAGCAGCATCACATGCATTACCATTGCAGAATTATTTCCAACTTGTAGTGAAGCAGGGACAAATGCTGAGTGGATGAAGAGGTCCAAGGTTCAAACTGGAAATGGAACTTCTTGCTATGGATGTGGGACAAGAGAGGAAAAACAAATGCTGATTAACCTGATCTTCAGTAAAAGGCACAGAGAAATTATTTTCACTAAAAAGAAAAGATTAAAATGAGTAATGTTTTTGTATGTTAGGAAAAAAAGTATTATCTGTACTTCAGTTCATTGAAAAAATACACAAAGGAAAGGCAGCACAGAAGAGCATTTTTGCTGCTTGTACTTTCCATGTTCTGTCATTGGTGCTCTTGCTCTTGTGAGTGGTCCTTTACAACATCCATATGAGGAGAACGTATTGGTCTTTTCACCTGTATGAGGGGATCTGCTTAAACAGAAACACCAGCGTGAGTCCCTGATGACGACTCAGAACCCCCTTGATGTTTGATTCAGAGAGATGTAGTCTGCACAGTTTTGGAGTAATTTGTAAATGTTCTTTTGATAACTTTTGCTTATCAGCTTTGAGGTTTATTGACCGTAACTGCATTGTGATCTGAGTAAAATGGTTGTTACTGCATTTGCAAGCAGCTCAGCCTGATTACACTGATCTAAGCACCACATTTACAACTTTGTCTGTGGTGCCATTACAGAAATTAAGTGAGCCAGCAGGAAGACACACTGCACGTATCTCACTCTTAGCATGCTGATTTACTGCCTCTGTCTGCTGTCTTTTACAGTTCTGTACTGGCTAATGTCCCTGCCTTGCTGGTTAGCTTGTTTAAGTCGTGTGATGCTTCATCTGGAGTGAGGAATCTGAATCTGACTTTGCCACCAGACTGAGAAACAGACAGCAACTTTATTTCAAAGTTCTTTTTTCATCTTTCCTGTGGTTACCTTGCACTTAGAAAACAAACTGGTACGGGTCATGGTATGGGGATGTGTGCTTTCCTTTGACTTCCTTCATTCTGAAAAAGTCTGTGTTCTTCAGCTATTCTCCACGTCTTCTCTGGTGTTCTGTTTTGACTTGGCCTGATGGCTGAAAGCTTTCCTGTAAATTATTACTTTTGACAGTTACAATAGTGATATTCCACACTCCCATAGTATCCTCTGACCTGCAGGTATCACAATGCACAAAGATATGTCTAAAATGTCACAAAAGAATGTGAATCACATACACTTACAAATTATGTCAGATAAACAATGTAAGCGGAGTACAGTATCTCAAAGAGAAATGACAAGCATCACTGATTAGAGTATTTACAGTGAGAAAGGGTTTCTGAGTTAGCTTCAACCCATAACTTCTGATTATTGAGTCGGTGCATTAAAACAGTGTAATTTGCCATAATTCTGTATGCTAACAAGATAAGTGCACATATGGATTCAACTAATAAATCAACAGAATATTAGTTATTGGGGTGGAGGAGTGTGAGGTGAATGAGGAAGGTGGGTGAGGACAGCTACTAGTGTTAAGAATCTAAATAAAGTTACTCTGAAAAGCTGGCTGTGGTGTGCCCAGTGGAGGCTGCATAGTTGATTCTCTTCTTCTTTAGAATAAAAGGAAAAAGAGGCCATGTGGCAACCTGGTTCATACCAGCTTCTACTGCTCAGTGTGAAAATGGTCTCAGAGCTGCCATTATCTCCTTCACTTTCTGGTTCGTATGCAAGCAGTGCAAAAGTATCATCATTAATGTTGGCTGAAGCTTCACACTTAATGGTTTTTTTTCAGGTGGAACTTGCAGAAATTTGCACCAAGAGTGAACGTTACATTGGCACAGAAGGTGGAGGAATGGACCAGTCAATCTCTTTTCTGGCAGAAGAAGGAACTGTATGTGAATCTTTGTAATCTAAGACAACAGTTTAACATTAATTAATGTAAACAGCAATGTCTTCATGTGTACCTGGCAGAATGACAAGAAACTGGAATACCTTGGCAAGCAGGATAAGCATCACTGCAGATGAAATAGGAATGATATGTATAGTCTTTTGTACAGTTGAGTATGACAGTTTGAAGGACTAAGATGGTAAAAAATAGAAATGGAGAAAAGGAGAAAAGATGTGGGGAAAGATGCATGAGGTCCAGGTTCCACACTATTCAGCTAATTGATCACTGAACTTAGAAGACTTCCCATATAATGAAATCTGAATAGTCGGTATGCCTTGTATTCAGTGCAAATGGGATAATTATTACAAAAATGCTTTCTTGAAACTTTTTGTAACCGAACATTTCTAGGAAGTTTTGCCAGGTCGAGTTAGAAAGACAATGGAGATTTTTTCCCCAGTTCTGCTAATTCCAGAATTGGCTGAATTGTGTCGTAGAAGGTATTCAGCTGTCTTAAACGCGGTGACAGAAGGTGACTAGGCACCACATGCAGGACCTGCCAAGTTATGCACGAGTGCTTGCAGTTGAATTTACAGTGGTGTTCATCCATGGTTGCAAGAAGACACACAGGATTGTGAGTGTTGAAAACTAAAATGTGTCAAAATACATTTACTGAAATTAATGTAGCTTTTCATAGGAGACCTTTACTTGCTTATAAATTAAAGTAATTTTATTATCTGAACAGATTTTGTGCCCTAATGCTGTATCATGAATGAGTTTACACAGAAAACAAGCTATTTTTCATGTAATTCATCATGACATATTTCCTTTCAATTTCACATGACCCTTGCCTATGCTACACCTTTCCTTCACACCTCATACTGCTCCTCGTAAAGTGAAGGAAGTTGCATATTTTGCTGGCATACACACAGAGGATCATGTAAGGGGGATTTTCCTGATGTATGTTGGTGGTGGTCAACAAAACAAAGGAAAGATATTGTGAACCAAGCAGAAAACATCCTTGCTTCAGTACAATTGCAGATGAATGCAGTTCTGGCCACCCATTTCAAAGAAGTTACACTAGAGCTGGACAAGGAACTTTGGCTGAAAAATTTAAAACGTCACCTTGGAAAAACAGTGTCTTGGAGGGCGATATTTTGAAGCCAATGTAAAATAGTGAATGGACAAGAGAAGGTAAATTGAGAATGCATTGTTTTTCGTAACCAAAGAACTAATAGAAACACAATAACATTAACAAGCAGCTTGTTCAAAAACAAACAAGGAAGTTGTTTTTTCAAAGCATTCATTGTTAAATTGAGAAATACCATACATTCTGGAAGACAAAAGTTTAAAAAGGGTTCAAAAAGGACCTTCTTGGGTCCTAATAAAACATTGGCCTACGTGTTTCTATTAAACAAAATGTGATGAATCTTCCAGTAGAACTGCCATAACCTTTCCTTATGGGAAGCTGGAAAAATACATCGGAAAAAAGAAGAAAAAGAAAAAAAAGGTTGCTTTATGTACGTCTTATTTTCATATTCCTTCTGAATTTCAATTCAAGGCTGCTGTCAAAAACAGGAGACTGGACCAGCTCAGAGGTACATTCTGAACGTTGTAGCTCTTAGAGGGTATACTGAAATGTAAGCAAGCTTGTCTGTCTTGATAGTAATTTTGTGACGTGGTCCAGAATCTCAATGGCAGGGAGTAACACACATGCTGTACATAATGTACAAGCAGATTTGTCATTGTTTATTCAGCACTCTAGCTGCTCAAGGAACTCTCTGGGGGTGAAAAATGCCAAAACCAGTAAAGGCATCCTTGCTTGCAGAGTTACAGTCTATACTAAGTAGCGAAAGCAGGGCACATGATTTACAACTTGTCCTAATGAGAAACCAGATGTGAATTTAATCTCTTGATTACATTACATCCTGAATTATTTAATTAATGGATGCCTAGCTTATTCCATGAAAAGGTCACAAAATGTTGGGAACATCTTGCACGGCCTATGTAAAGCATCTGTGAGGCAAGACAGTCTCTTATATCAGAAGAAAGAAGATAGTAACTACTTTTTATATAGTTTTATTTCATTTCTCTGATTGTTGGTATGTAACACGATCACCATCTGCAGTCAACCCTACGATTTTGGTAATATGCTGTACCTCAGTGAATTAAATCTTCTTGACATAGTGGAAAAACAGAAAAATAAGGGGAAGACAGATATCAGTGGAGGGAAGGGAATGTGAAGCTGCTTGATTCTAGTAGCACACACATTAGCTTCAGCCAGGTCTGGTACTTTTCTGTAGATCAAAGGAAAACTGTTGTCTTAAACAGGCAAGAAAAATAGGTTGGGTGGGGTTCTGTGAAATGCTGAAGAAACCCAAAGACTTAAGGGAAACATTCTAAAATCCAACTACAAGGGAAGGGGTTGAAATGTATGTGCAACTCAGCCAATGAGGTTAGATCTCTTTTCTTGCTGTTTCATGTCAGTTTCCTTCATTAAGTGTCCCTGGATTTCCAAGAGAAAAAACATGCAAATTTGTATTTGATTTATAGAACTAAGTGCACTGCTAGCTAGTAGTAAATTAAAACTAACCAGTCATTTTTCTTTCGATAGGCCAAGTTGATAGAGTTCAGTCCTCTGAGGGCAACTGATGTTAGACTTCCAAGCGGAGCAGCGTTTGTTATTGCTAACAGTTGTGTTGAAATGAATAAAGCAGCAACTTCTCATTACAATATTAGGGTAATGGAGTGTCGTCTGGCTACAAAGGTAACGTATGGCTTATGTCAAACTCTAATGAAACCTTCATCTAAATATGTGCCTTTCTCCACTTCTGACCAATCGTATCTTTACTTAACACCTGGCTAGATGCTATGTTAAGGAGCATTTTTCTTTCCAGCACCAGACACTTCCATCTCTGCAGAAACAATTCCTGCCGAGTTTAATGGAAGTGCAAGGACTATGCCCTTATATAGAAGATTATGTGATTTTAATTCTATTTAATTTATTTTGTGTTATATTTGAATGGAGGAAATATGCCTATTTTTCAGCAAAAAATGCTCTGAGTTAATGAGATAGACTGTTTCTAATTAAAGCTGAATAATGACAAATAATGGAAAGCAACCAGTGTGGTCACATGTTTACATGTATATATGGCAATAGATGTGTATTTTCGAGGATTTAGAAGACATCAAAGCTACTAGTTGGAGGCCTGGAAGTAATACTGGAAATGCTGAATAGCAGCATGCATGTTAGTGTAAAACCCAGAATTTAAGTTAAACTGCCTGTTTACAGTTGGCAATTATCTCTAAAATATATGGAATCTGAGCATGACAAATCTAAGTTCTGCTTTAATTGTGGATTCTGTAGATCATACATTTGGGAATATGAGGATGTAGGGTTTAATTCGAGTCTGTTATAAAAATACAGTGGATTTTTTATTAAATTAAATGAGGACTAAGCATAAAGATTCACTGCAGTAATAGCCCACATGGAGTGCTGTGTTAAAGAAACAAATTTGGGTCACATAGCGTAGATGAAAGTTTTAAAAAGTACAGTGTGGAACTCCTTGTCACAAACCGGTTGGCCAAAATACAGGTTAGACTCTTGCACTCAATCTAAACAAACAGGTACTTTAAGCACCTGTTGGCAGAATGGTTCTGTGAAAGAAAATGCCATAGTTAATGTTAAATAATGAAAAAAAACCTGCTGAATAGCTTAAAAGATACTGACCAAATGTAATGTAAAATATGACAGTTGGGATATTTTTACAGGAGGGAAGTAAAACAGGTGGCTTTTAAAATGGGATTTCAGCTCAAGTATGAAAAACAGCTACACTTTAGGTGTATATTAGATATGGTAAAAATAATAGCACCAATGAGCACATTTTAAGTTGTCCATGAAGTTGATAAAAAGACTCCTATGCCTTTAGAAAAATGAAGGTAAAGACCTCACCATGTGCTAGATCTTGCATAACTGATAAACATCAAATTCAGGATAATTGATTGACTACATCTTTTAGGAAGAGTTTATTTTGGAAATTATTATGCATAAGGCACAAGGAGCCTTTGGAGATGGTACGTTTTGAAAGGCAAACTGTAACTGTAAATGCCTTGGAAGACCTTTTAAGGTATTGTTCTATATGCCTTTTTTTGCAAATGGAATCACAGTTTTCTAAATTGCTTTAAATTATTGAGCCTCTTTATTAAAATGATGGCAATGAACAATTTTATATTTTTAACACTACTGTTAGCTATGATGCAGTCTTTAAATGTGTACCTTTAGCAGATCCATGACTTTAAGTAGACTAACAACATACACCTGTCTATTTTAAAACATATGCTACCCAGATGGAAAGTTGCACACACTACAAAAATATTTTGAGTCAGGAAAAGACTGTCTTTAGGAAGAGGTCACAGTGGGGTGAAGGAGGGCAGGCATGTAAGTGAAAGCAGGGAAGTCATTTATGCACCATTAAGCTAATGGAAATATGAAATAACATTCTGGACTTCACAAGTCTTTTGCTTTACAAGAAATTCTCATTGGGTTTTTCTAGGATGGGCTTTTTTTTTTTTTCTTCTTCCACTTTAGGTCATTCTAATATTGCTTACTTGTTTGCAGAAAGCTCTCTGTAAGTAAAGATGCCAACACCATGCATTTCAACTGGCATTGGTGCAGAATATTTTGATATCAATCTGTCTTACAGTAAGCTCCTGAGCATCCTAACCTGTCCCTCTCAGGTTCTGCACCCTTCCCTTCTAGGCAGTCATTCATTTGCTTGCTTCATTTGTTCTGGGGAGCTTCTTTTTCTGTCTTTGCTTTTGTCTCTCATCGCTTTCCTGTGCACCATTAAACAGAATGTTTAAAGTCAATTATGTTGCTCAGAACACTCAATTCTACAGGAAATTAATTGTGCTTTATGTATCAGAGCACTTGTGCAGTGTACACTGCAGGATGACTGAGCATTAATGCATGCTCTGCAATCTCCATACTTTACAGTGTGTGGTTCACTTCAGTTTCAGCTAGAGTGGAGCCAAGAATTTCTGCACCTGGGATGCCATGTACTTACTGAGCTGATGTTTGCTAAATGTGGAAAAACACTCAGGTGGTATTACAGAAATGTAAAGTATAAGAAAGGGATGTTGCTATAGAAGGGCGAAGCATTCCTATACTTACTCTAGTCGGGCTTTCTTTTATGCATATTTGTCCCATCATTCTCTTAGTACAGTGCTCCAGTGTGCCTGTGTTGAACAGTAAAAGACAATGATGACTACAGATGCTATATCCTGACAGTTAAGAGCCAGCTGGATGCTGTCCACATCTTTAATTCATCTAGTCAGAGATCAGCAAGAAAATATCCAATTCTGGGATCAGTACTGGGTTTACTTTTGTACATAAAATAGATGGGATTGTTCCCATCTCTGTTCTGCATCCATTACAATCTGAGCTGCTGCAGATAGATATTTGTTAAAAACAAAACAAAAACATTTATTTGCTCATAACGTTTTTCCCAATGCTGTTACAGTTGAAACTTTGTTATAAGCAACATGAAACCTTTCCCAGCAAGGCCTGCTCACAGAGCTGAAGGGGCCAATTTCCATCTGGAACATTTTACCTGTAAAAGTCAGTGCAGTTAGCTTTTCCGAACTGCAGCATCTCCACTGAAGAATAGAAATGACAGTAGATGCTACAAAACCTGTGACAAATACTCTAACTGGATTATGTATTTTACAAGTAGAAACGTTTTTGTTGCCTTGTAGAACATTATATTATTTTTTTCTAAATTCTTATTTCTGTATAACTTCTGATAATAAAGTCCAGGGGCTGCTGAACATTAGGATTACAATTATTAGGGAAGAAGTTTTTAAATTCATATCATAAACACACACCAACACAGGAGGTAACGAATATTTAGATAAAAAAACTGAAGCAATAATTGTTATTGTAACTGAGCCATAAGTAAGGTAACATGCCGTTAAGTTGAGACTATAGAGTTCTAGAAGCTCTATAAAAAAAATAGGCCAGAAATAACTAAATCAGTCTCTCACAAGAAAATTGTCTCACCTTGATTTCTGCATTAGTCACTACACACTGCTGCTGCTTCTTTCACTACCACTGAACACAAAACTGCTTTAAATGGCGTCAAAGTCAGATGATTAGGATTTTGATTGGATTTTGTCCTGCCCTATTAAGTTTCACATAAATCTTAGCAAGTCACTAGATGGCACCAAAAGTAGTTAACTTTTACGTACCATAATAAAGCAAAACTGGAAAAGTTCCTGCAGCGGTACTGCTGGAGGAGAGCAGAGGGTGAGAATCTACAGCAGAAAGCTCGGCAATAGATTTGCTTAAACAACAATCTCGTGTTCCAACTTCAGACAAAGCACTGTAGATACTTTTCAGGCATGTGTGTGAATACAGGAAGTTACACATGTGCTAAATTGCTTTGCTGGACTGAGACCTAAATGATTTCAAACCAATCTTACTCAAACCCACTGTTTATTGAAATGAATAACAAGACATACTGGGTGAAGTTTGGGCTCTGTTGATGAGAAGTTTCAACATGGATTTGAGTGGGAAAAGGATTCCATTCTCTGATTTTGCTGCAATGCTTTAAACTCTTTGCAAACATTCAGCCTGATCTGGTACACATAGAAGCCTAAATCTCAATTAAAATGATGAAGGATTAGAGGCAGTGAATGCAGTCAAATGATATTGGCACTTTTCTGCTAATCTATCTCAGTACCGATCTGTTAAAACGAGGCTGTTGGGCTCCCACAGCGACCACTGAACGTGTTTCTATCATTAATAATGTTAAGAACGTTCCACCTCATGAAAATACGAGACGAGTTGTTTTGCTCAAGTTTTTTCATTAGACACAGGGGAACATCATCGCATGCCGCAACTTTCTAGAGAAAAACCTCTTTGACGTATTTCCTTTTAGGATTCTGGTGCATTACAGTAACTGCCTTCAACTGCCAAGCAGTCAGAAAGATACATTACGCATGACCTACTTGTCTGGAGTGGAAAAAACACGTGTACCTATGGCTAGGTACACTTACTAGTGTAGTTAGCACATATAGCACCAGGTATACTAGTTAGCGCAATGGAAATCGCATAGGAATGGAACAGATTCTAACTAATACATCATAACCTTCTTATAGGGCTCAAAACTTTCACTTTTATGTTTAAAAAATGGACTTATTTAAGTTTACGTTGAACGCTGCAGTATGGGAAAGGCTATTGTTAACTCTACTGCAAATATATCTTTTATATTTTTAGGGCTATTATGAGAACAATTTGTAGTGTCTTCCTCGAGTTCAACTATAGGAGCATCTTAGTCTTCAATGCTAGAACAAATTATAACAGTGTAGAAACAGACTCCTTGGGGACCTGCAGTGTTACAATACTGTAGCATTTGTACAAGCAATAGTCTGAATATGGCTTTGAAATTCTAAAAATTGTTTGAAGTAATGACATCCATAGAAAAGGAGGAATCACTGATTTGATATCATACAGTGTCTCACTCACAGACCTTTCATAAATAAATATCTACTGTGCAAGGATAGAAAGTGGCTATGGATAATTCCCAGTTAATAACTTGAAAGAGCACTGGGGTCTTAAAGCTGCTGATGGACAATTTAGTGTTAGTTTTAACCTGGGAAGCACAACATGTTTTATTTTTTAAATTTCAGCTTCTCTCAAAGTCAAAAAGTTTGGACTGGAAAAAAATGCTGAGACTCCAAGATGTGCAGGCCAGCCTAGGAGTTAGCCTGGAGGAAATGCTGACCATTGTCGAGGAGGTATTGCATCCGGAGCCGTACAGCACAGAGGAAATTTGTAAATGCCTGGGAATTAGCCTGGAGGAGCTCCGCTCTCAGATCCTGAGTCAAAACACGCAGAATGGTAAGCATATATGAAATACTGTTCTTTGCTTTACAGTGTTTGTGTTATCTAAAATTGCTCTTTATTAATAAGTGGTGTGCAAGTCTCGCCAGAATACTCCAGAATCGTGAGAATCTAAATAGTAGAATGGGTACACAATGGAAGAAGTAGCAGATTAGGTTTTAGATTAGTCTGTATTAGTTTAGAGTCACCTCTAGAGAGATTAAAGAGAAAAGTCTTAAGTTAGGCTTCCTTTTTAAGCCAAATCTCTAACAAAACCAGGCATTTTGGCTGGTTACAGCATCAATCAAATAAGTCCTGTTTGCTCTCTCTGAACTGGTGTTCAGGGCTAGCATAGGTAGAGACTTGTTTCTATTTTTGAATGGACAAATACATTATCAATTCATAAACCCTACATGAGGATGCAAGTCTTCTAGGTCACTCTTTCCTGAGAAAGAAGCTCCTGTTTCTGTATATACATATCTACCTATCCAGATCTAGATATAAAAATGTTGGTGCAGGCAAACAATTTACTATGTAAAGTATTTCCCAAATATTCTTGCATATGATTATATATTATTATATATAGTTTTGATTATTGGCACTAATGACTTCTAAAAGAAAGAACTGTCTTAGATGTATATAGTAGGGTTGCTAATAGTACCTAATAATAGAGCATTTATGAAATCGTTAATTTGCATTCATAGTCATTTCCAATTTAGATTAGGTTCTTGCTTTATGAATTTTAAATAACCCAGACTTTTTTGTTTTCACTCTGTGGCTTTAATGCCTCTACTGTTTTCCACAGCCAAATTATATCCTTGCCAAGACTGGTTTCAGGGAGATATATATTTGTTTGCATGTATATCAGTAACATATATATACATACTGATGCATATATTTAAAAAATATGCACATCTGGAACAACCGTAAATGTTATACATTGACCAGGAACCAGGTCCTGAACCTATAACCTTTTTTGCAAGCCAGTGATATCAGAGAGCATAAAATTATCTTAGTGTCTAATTACACTGCCAGAGGGGTACGGCATGGAATATGGTGTCTTAACCCAGCTCATTACCTTCATAGGAAGAGCTCTGTTAACTCTGTGCTGTACATACAAGAACAGACTGATCTGTGTGTGCACTCGGCAACGTTTTCATGGGAAACTACGGAGTTCTGAGCTTGTTGTGCTGTGCCCTAACTCTGCCCTTCATGAAGGTGTACAAAACTCACAAAGAGGTTTATAATCCCTACACCTGGTTTACAAAACACAGTTCTACAGTTCTGTTGAACTGAATTGTTTTTTACAGATTGTGTTTTTCCACACCCCTTCAGAAAAAAAGGTCTGGATAAAAAGTTGAAACACAAAAGCTCCAGAAGAAACTGAAGGAAATGTTATACTGGGGCTCTGAATAGTGTTTGCAGATGTTTGCTGAATGGAATCTCTGAAACTTGTATGACCATGATTTCATTTGATAAGGCCAATTACAATGGGTTATGCTGCAAGTCTCTTTGCATGTACAATATAAAATTAAATAAGAGATTTCTGTAAAACTATACACAAAAAAGAAACGAGACAGACAAAGAAATAATCTAAATCCACTGTTGTGTGTTCTGTTAACACACTGGACAAATTGCATTTTATGTTGGCTTTGGAAAACCAGAGGGTGTTTGACAAAAATATTTTTCTTATCTCCTCCTTACTTTCCGACTGTTCTTTAATAACAAAGCCTCGCTTCTTCATGTGAGAAAACCTACCAGTACAGTATGTCATTTCTGCAGGGTATTTCTAATATCATTGAACTTTTGCTCAACGTGAACAAAGAGCCCTAGCAGTTAAAGGTACATTTCTTCCTTTGCTTCCTTAGCTTTCCTGTTACAGGATTTCAATGTTAAATGTAAAATACCTGCATAAGAAACACCAGGTAAATCATTTACTGGACTCTGAGTTTTCTCTGTGACTGAATTAATTCATTTGTATTATTCAAAGTCCAGAGTTAATGTTTTGTACAGACCCTGTATCTCATGTTTAAGGATATGAAAGTGCTACATCTGTTACTTTCGCCTGAAGTCAGCTTTCCTTCATCTGCTCCTCCAGTGATGACACTGTGTGCTTGCCCAAATTTCCGTACATATGTTAGGCTGACCAAAGAAGAACTCCAGATCCCAAAGAAAAACTATATGGGCAGGCTTTGGGCAAGTCTCAAGCTGTGTCTGGATACACAACAACTTCTAATCTCTTTTATAGGAAGGTTCTCAAGGACTCCTGCAGGGTCTCACTGTGCAGCTCGCCTGTTCCCCAGGTTTGGAGAGGTACAGGTGCTGCATAGTCTCTATAAAGCCTCATGCAACTGTTCCTTGGCCAACTCACAATCCTGAGTTTAAATCCCCCTTCCAAATGTTTACACATGGATTGCACTTGCGGCTTCTGAACATCTCTAGAACAAATAATATTTCTTACATTTGAAGATACGCTATACCATAATTTTGTCTTGGAGTTGAAGGCTTCACAGAACATTTAGTGTGTGGTTATTGTGGGATGTGAAGTATTTATAAGCCTCACCGCAAAAGGATACTTGCTTGTAAAATAATGTATTCCTTTAACTATAAGATGTTTTTTCCTTCTTAGATCAGTTATTTTTAAAACATTTTTTTCCTTTTCACATATAAAATTATAATCTAATTTTGATTTTTAGATCTGGGAATGAAATCATCATCAGAATAACAGGTATCTGTTTACCATCAAGATTTGGCTGTGTAACTGCCCTCTTGTTTGTCCCCTGGGAAGACAATGAATCTTAAACCTTAGCGTAGTTGCAACGAGTGGTGTTTGAATAGCATTTCATTCCCACTGCCAAGTCATCTGTATTAATGGTGATCTCAGTGCAAGAACAATTTTTACTCTCTTTGTGCAGAAAATAACACACGACTTCATGTGAAGGTGGACACAGATGTGCTGCTCAGCAATATGTAAAGCTCTGCCGTGTGCATCAGTGGAGTGCCCTTGTCTTACAAGAGCAGAATTTATCTCTGCCTTGGTGACCTCAGAGTGCTTCCCAGCTTGGGGGTTGGGGTGACAGCTTCATCCTGATCCACGTCATGGAGGAAATTGAGCACATACCATTCTCCTTCCAGAAAGACACGCATTGCTTGGGATGAGCCCCCAAGCAATGGGCCGCTCCTGGCAGATCCCATACAGGTAGAAGCAGACATTTTGGGTGGGCCATAGGTTAGGCATAGGCATGAATGGTCTAGGTTAATTGCAACAGTTTTGCTAAGGCTCACATTTCCCTGGAGAATTACTTTCAGCTGGTAGTTACTGTTCTCTTAGAGCAGGTGTCTGCTAAATGGGTCACTGAATCCAGCAATGACTGGTCCTTTGGTTTATTTTCAGAGAGCCAGATTACAAACAGTTATTTGAGCAGTCCCAGCAGAATAACTGTTCCCCACTTTGAGGAGGGGGTTCACAATCTGGCTCAAATTAAAGCCATCTGGCAGCATTTTCTTATGAACATTTCTTATGTACATTATGAGCCAGAAACGTTCACCCTCTTCATGTTCAATCAGCAGGATGCCTAACAGAGAAAGGTACTATTCCATGTGAGTAACGCTGGTAGAAACTGTCCCCTACATGATTTTGTATTGGTGAATTTTTCCCGTTGTAAATTTCTAACAGTTCCATCAGCCATGTGTAGCTCATTAATCTACAGTGAAGCAGATCCTAAGAAGCTGCCAAAGCAGCTAGAAAAAAATACACAGCCTGAAGAGGCTGGTCTTTTGCTAAAGGTCAGACAGAATTGTACAGGAAGCCCCTAAAGAAAGGAATCTGCTGAAGTTGAAGTTACAGCAAATAATGTGAGTTGCTGGGAAGCCACAGTGTTTAATTATAAAGAAAAAAAAAATCCATTTAAGTGGAGAGTACAGGTTTACACAGTTTTCATTAAGCTAAAACAAAAAATATGACCGTACAGTTGCAAATGCACAGTAAAGTTTTCTCTTACATTTAACTAACATTTGCTTGGGACAAATAGCCCAGGATTTTTGTTTAAGAGACTTACTGTATATGGATTTTGGACAAACTTCCATTAACATTAGTCAGTTGTCTCTTAACAAATGTCAAGGTTCTCCCTGCAGTGTGAAACATTATTGCACTGGAAAATGTCACTGCTTCCTTCAAGGGCATTTAGTGGCTGTAAGGGAACTGCATCTAGCTGCTCATAGGTCCTCTGTAGAGGAGCAAGCGGAGGTGCACGGAGTACACAGAGGGTCAGCAAGAGCTCTGACATTCTGAAAAACAGAAGTGGAGTGGTAACACGAAGCAGTTAACAGTGGATGAGATTCCTTGAGGATCATGTCTGCTTTTTTTTGTAGAAATGCAATTAGTGGAGCAATGACCTGAAGGTGGGTTAGTGACAGTGACTGCAGGTGAAATGTGCTACAAACTTTACAATTGGGCTTATTTTGACTTCTTGTGTTTATGTTCTCTGAGCTACATGTGTTCCAATCCATAAACAACATAGCTCACCTTCACTTCAGTCCACAAGAAATGTTTTTTAGGTGTGCAGCTGATATCATACAAAATAAATCAATCTCTATATTGTCTCTTCTGAAAGAGACAAAAAGGACCCCAAGATTCTGATCATGCCAGCATGCCTAGGTCTACAATCAAACAGCTCTCTGTTGCATGGCAGTGAGCGACACAGAAAGCAGCAGAGAGAAAATACATGGTGATTTTCAACAAACAGCTTTTGACAGCATGTTTCTAGTCAGAGGCTGGATCCCTCGCTGATACAAATCTCCATCAGTGCAAATGGTGCTACATCATTTTAAACAAATAAAACATCAGAACTGGATACTGCAGAGATCCTTTTATGGGAGAAGCATTACTCTAGACATGTGCTGGACAATTGCTCTCATGCCAGCATGGCATAATGTCACTGCAGCAGGGATTTTACATTCCTCTCCATTCACCGGAGAAATGGGTATCAGAGGGCAAGTCAGGCTTCAGGTGGGACAAACATTTCTGCAGGCTGCCCTTCCACTGTTAGGAGAGCGAGCTGAGGATGTCTGCACCCCTCATTTGGAAATTAAGTGGAGAAACCAGGACATTATACTTTTCTGTATTAGGAAAATGTATGTATATTTTTAGTTAGGTTAAGTACCTGATTTCCATAAACAATAATAGATTTAAGGACCCAAATGCTTTTAAGAATCTGGCACTGGTTCCCTAAACCCTGCTTTTTTGCTGTCCTTTGAGCCCAAGAGGACAAGATCTTATAAGCCAGTCCTGCGTAACACTGCATGCTTTACTTCAAGGGCTTCAGTTTCTCTTCTGCATAGGCCCTGCAGGCCTAGCTCAGATATAAACTAATCATTTTTGCATACTTAAGTTTTCTTTTAACTGTGACAAAATGTGACTTAGGAGATTTATTTTAATTGTAAAAGATGTGGTACTTTTCCCATGAAGCACACAGATTCTGATCAGCTCCCGCACCCTTCTAAAATCATGGGTTCCACAGCTCCTTGGCGTGGCCTATCAATTCGCTTAGGTGGTCTGACGTACAGGCAGTGATGCAAGCAAGAAGATTCAAATATAGATGTAATTTCTGGAAATAATGTGTGTTGTGCTATCTTTTATTATATGGAGATGGTTTGTTGGACTGCCCATCCAAACAGAAGAGATCCAGAGTTTCTCTATTACCAGAAGCATTTGGTGTTGATAGCTGAAAGTATGCGAATTGTTTCACTGCTTTAGAATAGGACTTGCAGAGAACAGAGGTGTTTGCTGTCCTGAAGAAAATTCTACCTGAACAGCAAGTATTCTGCCAGAGAGAAAAGCAAACTGTACTAAACCTGTTCCAAACACAAACATTGTTTTCTGAAATAAAACGCTGTCTGTAAACAACCATCAGCTAACATAACGATAGCAGACTTTACCCAATACTAATTCTGTAAATCTCCACAAAGGACAAGTCTGAAAATAGCACACAGCCACTCTTTCTCATTTGAGAACCGCTTGCCAGGATTGCGCTCGCACTGAGAGAAAGCCAGTGTCGAGGCAGCAACTTCTCCCCTACACCCACTGAGTCTCCCCCTCGCCCAGGACACAGCTCAGACCTCCGGCACACCGCCAGCACACGGTGCCCACTGCAGCTCCAATTCGTAACATGACCAGCACAACACAGCCGCAGAGATTTTAAAGGTAATCTGGCCAGTAGAACATTGCTCTACCAAAGGGTGGTCTCTGAATCAATCACAGCTTTTGGCAAGTCTCTTGCCTTACAATTGAAAACAGACACGTTTTCAGTTCATTCTTTGGGTTACTACTGTTCAATGGTGATTTACAAGAGAGTGTGAGCTATGGCAATCTCTCACGCAACTTTAGATATTCCCTAAATGAATGCACATTTAGAAATCTCCTTGCTCTAAAACAATGGCTTATAAGAAAAGCATATTTAAAGAGACACCATCCTTAAAAAATGCCAAGCAGCCTTTCTCTAACAGAGCAAACACCAAGGCACGCCCCACAGAACACAGCGCGAGTAACTCCAGCAGTAACAAAGCACAGTGGGGCGAAACACACCTCTGAGCAGGAAAAGAGAACACAGCTTTCCCCCGTGATACTCACAAGAAGACGTTTCCTGGGGCACCCAATTTTGTCGTTTCTGTTCCATTCTGTTCATTCTGAGAAATGCAGTTGGAGGCCTGCTCAAAAGGCAGCATCAGAGCGTTTCTCAGTAGCAGGCTGTATTGAGTTACAAAATACATAGCACTAGAAGCATTATGACCAGTAGCAGAAAACTCCTGTGTCCAATATTTCTCCATCATTTTAGACTATTTATGTCCCTCTCAGCACTGTATTTTCAGCATTTACAGTTGTGAATTACACTTACTCTGGAAAGATAAAAAGATGTTATACAGACACTGTTAAGTTTTAAGAAGGGATGCAATCTGGAGAGCACACAAGAAAGTCTTCACACTGGACAGAATATTATTTTCAGTCTACCAAGGAAGACTTGAGTGTACAATTGCAAATGTTGATTGCCGCAATCACTGAAGTGGTTCTGGAATTTGACTGTCTCCACAGAACAGCCCAACAGGAACTGCGTGTGCCCAGGTCAGAAGGCAAGTTCCAAATCTAGGGCTTGTTTGTCTCTGCCCTTTTTCCTCTGCTGGAGTGTTTCATCAGCCATCTTAAACTGAGAGGCACCAGAAACCAATAGCAGGAAAGGGTCTTTGTTCTGGACGAGAACTGACATGTAGAACCAAACTGAGGGATACTCTGAGGTGCTTGAGCTACAGTGATGAAACATACTACAGCAGGTGTTCCAAGTAAAGACTTACTTTCACTTACCTAGTACTTACAACCCCAAAAGCTCAAGTAAAGCATTTTTATCATCAGTTGTCATATATGCTTCTGTAATACTTCTTCAATAGCAGTTACAAGTCCATGGTATTAAAATAAACAGAAAGGTACTGAGTGAGGAAAAATAATGACCTACAACAGCCTAACCCTCCTCTAAGTCACAGCAGTTTGATGGGCTTTTAACCACAGACATTCCCTTTACTGCGCCCCACTGTCCAGGCTTGGCAGGGGTCCCTGCCTCGATGGCCACACAGGTTTGAGATCCCTCCCACCCATCCCAGAGGAACTGCTCCATTTTTCATGGCATGATTACAAAATGTTAGCCAAAGTCTTTGCACCAGCCTTTGATCTTAGGTCAGTGCTAAGAAGGACTTGTTTGGGCCTCTCTTTTTATGTCTACACAGGCAGCACTCACACTGGACACTGGTAACATACCAAAAATAAACCCTCAAAATCAAACTGAAAGCACCTGCTTCTTTCAGCATACCATTATCACAGTATTATCTGCAGTCGAGGTGAGACTGCACTGTGGAAATTAGAGAGGGCTTCCTTACCTAGGCACCAGGAAGAATGGATAATGCCATTTCAATTAGTCTCAGTAAAAAAAAGGGAAAGGGAAAGGGAAAGGGAAAGGGAAAGGGAAAGGGAAAGGGAAAGGGAAAGGGAAAGGGAAAGGGAAAGGGAAAGGGAAAGGGAAAGGGAAAGGGAAAGGGAAAGGGAAAGGGAAAGGGAAAGGGAAAGGGAAAGGGAAAGGGAAAGGGAAAGGGAAAGGGAAAGGGAAAGGGAAAGGGAAAGGGAAAGGGAAAGGGAAAGGTCTGCCTGCACTGTTAAATAATTGATGCAGTCTAGGGCTGGAGAAGTTGCACACAGTGCCCAGGGCAGCAGGTTCAGGCAGCCTGCAGGGCACCAGGCACTCTCCAGTGCTCTTGTAACTCCTCTATAGTTTGAATCTCATATTTTTCAAATGACACTCTTTCTGATATGTGCATAAAGTCATAAAACTAGAAAAATACACACATCATATTTTGATGAAATCTAAATACCACATTATTTGGGCTTTTAAAGATGTGGGTGAGGTTTTGGCAGAAGCTTTTGGCAGAGTTTCAGCATAGAGTGTTCGATTATGAAATATTAATTCTAAAAATAATTCTTTTACTGTGTTTTTATATTTCATTATTCCTTTCCTAGTAAAAATTGATAACTGTGGTGCTTCGTATTTTCCTTCTGTTTAGTTTCCACCTTCAAGTTACACCAGCGTGCAAAGCATGTGTACAGCGAAGCTGCCAGAGTGCTGGAATTTAAGAAGATATGCAGCGAAGCACCTGACAATGCAATCCAGCTGCTGGGAGAATTAATGAACCAGAGCTATATCAGCTGCAAGGAAATGTATGAATGCAGCTGTCCTGAACTGGATCGGCTGGTAGACATCTGCCTGTAAGTTCTGACCACAGGGAAGAGTAATCCCTTGTTGAGAATATTGTTTGAAATGATGAGAAAAGATGACGTTGTTGGCTATTGCAATTTTAAAATGAAAGTATTCTTGTCTCTTATTACAAAATTAATCTCCTGCAGGGACATTACATGGTCAATTGTTTCCCTACTGACATCTGTGTAATACTTTCAGATGAAAGCTGCAGTTTATGGCTTTATTACAGATTTTGCTTTTGGATTGATTCATCATCACAAGTGCTATGTTAGAATGTGTTAGCTATTCTTTTTTAACTTGTAGAAGTCATAACTGGTTTTCTTTAAGCATCATCTTAGTTGCTTTATTTGAATGTTTTCAATGTTACTTAACCATTTCAGAACCGTCACCATGGGACTTCTAGAGCATAAGTTAACTGTTAGGTTGCTTTGAAATCGTAATGATAACTTGTTAGATGCTACTGCATCTTTTCCTTTTTACTTGAAAAGACATCTTAACTAGTGCACCAGATAGGTTGGAAAGTGGCTGGCCATTTAAATGATGAGCATGCTTACCAATGCAGTGGCTGACACAGCTTCACCTAAGCCTTCACACTCTTCAGCCTCCCTGCCCCAGCCTCATTCATTTACTGCATTCCCTAACTCAGTTTGGCCGCAGTAAAACCAGACCTCTCAACTCTAAAATGCATTCCCTGTCATTTGCCCCTTCTCTTCTCTCTTTACTCCTCCCCAAGAAGCAGGCCATTATTTTCATAATTCTACAGTCACATCTGGTATAATCGTGTGTTAACAGAGAAAGTAAAAATGAATACTTAGTACTCACATTTGATATGATATTTCGTCCACACCACAGCAACAGCACAAAAGGATGCACACACTTCAGTTAATTCCCTTTTTTTCTGGTATGTTTAATCACAGGACAGACAACTTATGCTAACTTTGATCTAAATTCAGTGAAAAGAAAAGAAATCAGTGGTTGGTAATCACTTTAACAGGGGCATACGGGAATAAATAGCTGCCCAGCAAAGCCATCTCCCTGCTACTTTATCCCTGCCATTGCTCCAGCCAGCTCTCCCAGCTGCTGCTCTCATTCATTTCATCACAGATCCTGGAGATACCACCTCTATACTTCTGCTCACCTTTTACTTTTCCTGTTCTCCATGGAGAAGGGCACACATAGTTTGGGAAACTCTGCCCTAAGACAGAGCATTAAGAGGTTACTGCCATTCCAGGAAATGTAGTGTGCCGTAAGTGTTTGCAAGCCTGAGGTCAAGGAATGCTGTTTCCCTGTTGTGCAGAATTAGAGACTATAAAAGTATCCTATCTTTTCTCCAAATCTCTAAATCTGTGAGAAAACAGAATCTGCTTCAGTTCAACATCAATATAAGGAACACCTTACCATTTAAAAATGAAGGTTACAAAAGCACTTGCTTACCAGCAATTAATTATATATAACTAATACTCATCAGTCCGGCTTATAATGAAAATGGGAATTTTACAAAGAGGCAACATGCCATATACATTCTTACTTTTATAGCCATGCACATTTATTAAGCTGTAATACCCATTTACCAGGTTTGTAAATTGATACAGTATGATACTGATGATTATTTAATACATCAGGTTAGTCTCATTAATTTGGCAGACAAAACGGAAAGCCAAAAAACCACAAACTTAAAAACCAAATGCAAGACTTTTGGACATTCACAGATTGTTTTGCATGTGGGATGCATATGCTGTTTCGTGATAAAACACAGAAGTCCTGATAGCCATTGGACAGTCTGGTAGTAATTTAACAACATAATTTTTGTTCCTTCTCTCGGGAGCCATTCCTGTATGCAGCGCACAGGCCGTGTTCAATCTGTTACATCACACAGCAGTCACATAACAGAAGGAGCTCCCACAGTCCCTCCGTTAGTGAGGCGGCTGCAGCGTGGCTGTCCCAGCTACTCAGGGAGGGCGTCTCCACAGTCAGCTGAAGACATGAATCGTGCTCTGCGGAGTTATGGAAAAGCATGGGCTGCAAAGTGCAGATCTGGTACCAGCCATCAGCAGCCTGTTCTGTGACTCCGCAGACAGAGGAAAAGCCTTACAAATGAAGCCCTGTGTTATTGTTAGTTACAGTAACTTCCCAACAGTGATTTCTTGGTCGGCAGTACCGGATAGCTGAGCTCTGCAGATGTAACCAGCCACATCAGGTGCCTTCACTAAGGTGTTCTAATAGGGCAGGTTCTCAGAAATGCTGAGAGAAAACTACCATTTCAAGTAGGTATAAAACTAACAAGTTCTACACTACAGCATGGGGTTACCTGTGCTATATGGAATAGGCCAATACTGATGTTTGAAGCAGTGTACAGCGGAACGAATCCCAGTACAGGGATGGAAATTCTGTTTCTCATTTGTGCTGAGCTCTGTGCTTTCACAACTCTGCAGCCTAGCTTGAGTGTTGTGCCACTAGCTTGTAGGCAGCAGCACTGACAGCCACAGAACCAAAAGGAAAGGTGCATGCAGTCAGAATTTCACTAAATTGAATTGAAATTAATCAGACCGTTTCGGTTCCATGGACCAAAATATAAATAGCAAAGAAAAAAGTGATGTGTGTGCCCACGTTACATCAGATTTCTAACTTATCAACAGAAGTGCCCATGGCTAGTGTGATGGGCATAGCTGCATGCCACAGCAGATTAAATAAATTAAATGATTTCTAACCATTTAATAAATGGTTAGATATAAATATAGATATAAATATAGATACAAATAAATGCCATTAAATAAAAAATGATTTCTAACTGGTATTTTTTAAATGATTGCAACTGTTTTTTATTGTATTCATTGCAAAAACCAAATAAATTATTAGTTTATTCTTTACAGTCTTATCCCATCATGGATAGTCCTTAAGAAATACCTCCTTTCTTATAAGTTCAGTACTCAATAATGACTTTCTGATTAGAGTTGTAAAAGCATATAGCTATTGTAGATGCACGCAGCTTAAGCCAGCATGTCATTTTTAAAACTATGGGGAAAAAAGCTCAATTTTTCTCAAGTTGTGCATTAAAAAATGAAGGCACGTAAAATCTCTAGTCACTCTAGGAAACCTTGGCTGATGTGACTACAGGAATGGCCTGCAACTACATAAATTACATTCTTTACTTCAAATGATATACAGCTGCCCTGTAACTTTAAAAAGCCCTTCCAAAAATACATTCCACAGAATTGCCTAAGTCTACTGCTCCTCTCTCCTTACAAGGTTTAAACTGTAAGAATAATCTGCATATCCAGATGTTTTCTGTTTTGCCCAGATCTTTATGTTTTACTGTACAACATCTGCCAAGAAGGAAAGGGATCCATACTTGCTGTGGTTTGTAGTGCTGAAAAGCGTAACCGCCAGTGGGTCAGTATTTTATTCTTCGTGAAGACAGAAGATTTGTACTTTGTCTAACCTCTCTCGTGCTATTAATAGCTGTTTTACCTGTTGGCCTTTTAAAACACAGGTGGTTTACTAAACAGTTAAGGGACAAAAAGCTGAAACTGAGCTCGCAAATTCCTCAGGTGCTTTCTCCTGGACTGTTTGAATACTGGAAATAACTTTCATTCCCCTATTCTCCATCTTTTGGAGGTATAAAAGCTGATAATTTTTGTTACCTGCCACGCCTCTTCCAGTGGAAGATGGCCAAATCCTCTATGATCACTTTTTAAATGGTACAGTTCTTAGGTTATATCCAGGTGCATTATTTTCTTAAGTCTGGAGTTATGGTACAATTTGAAAGATCAACTAACAAAAAAACCCAACATGTTTGCAGCACTTTCAGAGACAAAAAAAACCCAACAGAACTTAAAGATGTTATTCAAATGCACACTGAGCTACAAAACAAGTACACACCACATCACCCCTAAATTAATACTGAAATCCCATCGCGTTAACTCCACGCTTTCTAAATAGCTGGTTCACAAATGCGAGCATTTTGAATTAACAACATTGCTCAGTGTTTTTCAGCTCTCCCAACAGAACTGTTTTTAAAATGAGTTACTTCTGTGTTTTACCTATTGCTGCTATATCCCAAACTGTGTGATTTCCATTCTTATTCATCTCGCACTTGCTATAGCATTTGTTTTCACTCTCACATGCACACAGTTCTCTCTTTAATCAGTGAGCACTGGAGCAAGGTAGATGAACTCTTCAAGAAGCAAAGGACTCAGCTGAGTGCCCCCAACACCGGATGACTGACATCCATGGCCTTTCTTTACGTGCTTCTTCTCACTCCCCACTACTTGTCCTTGTGACTGCCCTATAGTCCAGGCAGTGCATTGGGTACTTTCCCACATCTTAAATCCACATCACCCTCTGTGTGGGTGAGTGCTCCATCCACAAGATTATTGTTGGAAGAGTCACTGTTTGCTCTTACTGCTCCTTTCTTCATAAATGCATGCTTTAAATGCTGGTGCACAAGAAAAGAATGTGCGGCTACGAATCCTGCTTTACCAGCAGAGCCTAACACAGGACTGAGCTGAGCGAGACTCAGTGGAAGAGGCAGTTTCAGACTTCGCTTTCTCACATTTGGCACAGGCGATTCCCGTGCACTGCTCCCCAGTGTGCAGAATCAGATGCTGACCTCTGCTCATCCCAGGTGCCCGACATCCAGGTATCAGAGTGCCGAGCCCCTCAGCATTACGCCCTCAGCATCAGATCACATCGCATTTGAAACCGGTAGCCACAGTATTTTGAAACACAGTGACTTCAGCTCTGAAACAGGCGTATTTTCTGCCTACATAATGCTTTATTTCAACTGAGTATTTTAAAATGACTCAGTAAAAATGAGGCATGATCATGACCACAGAGAATTATGAAATCAATGAAAGGTTCAGAACAATTCTGAAGGGATTTCAGTTGCCCACCAAAATAAAAGCCAGACACCATCTGAAATACAACGTTCTGACTGAGGTAACAGACAGAATGAATACAGACAGCTGATTTACCGCTTTGAAAAGAGGATTGGGCTTTACAAAGTCAATGGGAATTTCCCTATTGATTGCAATTGAGACTGGATTGGATCCTGTTCGTTTTAGGAGGTTGCTCCATGGACCATAAACTACAAAAAATTGCATCAGAGAATGAGCGGCTTACAGGAATAATAAGAAAAATAAAACACCAACAGGAAATAAAGAAGGAACATAAAATCGAGTCAATATGCAGGGTGGCACCACACAGACACACTGAAGAAAGTGTTTCTATTCAGGAAGATATGTAAGCATGTTTAGAATGAAACACATATGCAAGTACTTGCTTGAAATATGACCTAAACTTCTACTAACCCAGCAGTATACCACATTCATTTAACATAAAACGCACATACAAAAAATCAGTGCAGCCTATTTGGAATGAGCTGTCATTTTCTAATACATTGTTCACATGATGCTCACTCTACTAAAAACAATTCTAGGGCCAGGAAGGCTCACAAAAGCATGGATCTTAGAATCATATCACAAGTACTTGTTTGCAAATCAGATTAGACCTCCCATGAGAATAAAGATTCTGAATGAGTTTTCTGAACCATCCTGTTCTGTGTTAGAAACGTCCCAAAGGCCATGTGGTATTTTCCTACTTTTTTTGAATCTAACTAAAGATAAGCAGCACAGGTCAGCAAACTAACGAAAATAATTAGTCTAAATTCTAATGAGGTGGCATCTGAATGTTGCACAGTGATGGCACGGGATTTGCTGCAGGACATTTCTAGCAGGCTTGTACGAGGCTGGGAATGGTTTATATTTCCAGTGTTTTATTTGTCATTGTTCCCTCTCTTCATCCTCCTTATTAAGGACATTTTTCTTCTCCTTTTTGACAATATATTCTTATTTTACCTTTACTGCTGTAATTCTGTTAAGTTCACGTGGTTCCTCTAAAGATGGATACCTATCCCAGTCCTTTCAGCTTTGACGGATGTTTGACTCTGCATATGACTTCTGAGGAGTTTCTGAACTCTCCTTTTCTTGACTGGCCCTCTCAGTCATTCTCAGTCATTCTGCGGAAGAAGCCTGTGAATCTTCAGCATGTTTTAGATCTGTCCTGGAAGAATAGAGCTATTTGTCTTTGCCACATTAGAAAATGGCTTGCATGCCTACATCCTGTGCAATTAGCTTGTGAACCCTCTTTTGTTATTTTTGTCATGTATTTCTGTTTTCACTTCTGATGCCTTATGAATTTTGCTAGCAAAATCCCTTTTTCTTCCCCTGCTTTATTCATCTCAGCTATGCTGTGATCCTTAGAACAGCTGATGTTGAAGCACTGCAAAAGAGGATGACTCAGAACTGACAGAAATGACTACATTGCAGTTTAAAGGGTTAGAATTTTTTTGTCCAAAATGGTAATTACAGATTGCTGGACTATCATGTGCAACCAAGTGAACTTCAGCAAGTCAGGCGACACTGATGTATTTTTTGAGTTCAGCATTCACTAATTTTCTATAGGAATTTTATATGTGACAAATTGCCCCCTTCTGGTCTATTTTTCATTATTTTTCCTATTATTTTGTTTTAGGCAATTTGGGGCCGTCGGGTCACGTCTGACTGGAGCTGGATGGGGCGGCTGCACTGTGTCAATGGTGCCTACTGACAAGCTCAATACTTTCCTAAAAAATGTTAAAAAAGCTTATTACCAAAATGATGGCCAAAGGTTAGCGCTGGAGAATAATGGTCTCTTTGCTACCAAACCTGGAAGAGGAGCTTTGGTTTTTGTTGAGGCCTAAAGAACATAAAAATTGTAAAGAAACTATGTAAAGCATTTATAACTGGCAGGACTTCCCACGCCACAGTAAATGAAAGCCTCTTCTGGGTTTTATTATGAGTAGTTGCTATTATCAGAATATATTTCTGAAGAAGGAATTAATCAGGAACACTGATTACAAAATCTATTTTTCCCAATATTAAAATATTTTCTGTGTAAATGCTAATTTACCAAAATCTATTGACACACTGTAATTGAAAAAGTGATGATTGTTTATTACAACAGATCTTTTCTTTTTCTTTTTCTGCCATAAAAGTAAGACCAAGTAGAGCACTGAACTGTTCTCCTGAAGGGCAGGAGCCTTGCCATGTGTGCAGGGCTGCTCAGTGCTTACATCAGTGGCCAGATGTTGTTTCTGGAATCCTATGAAAACGGAAGATCAACCTGATGAATTAAGAACAACAAAAACAGATGGGCCTTGCTGCACATGCCATGTTTCATGCTAGTCTCAGATACAATTATTAGTCTTGCAATTAATGACAATATTGGAAGGGAACCTGCGGGCCAAATAAAACATTGGGAACACTTCATGTTAAGCAGGAAACCTTAACTTCTAGCTATCGTTCTTCTATACCTTGGTGTAAGGGTGACTGATGAATGTTTCAGTGAGAATGCTGTCTGTGACCCATCCAACAAGACAGCACGCGCGCCTTACCAAATCAGTGAACAAAGAACAAAGGTTGGCTGTGAGTTGTCCAAGTACCACACGCTCGTTGTTCAGTCCCAGCTGCGTTTACAAGGTCGATGAATTTGCATTTTCAAGCTGTGGAGGATTAAATACAGCCACAAACTGCACTTTCCTTCAATTCATGCTGTGCCTAAAGAAGCTCCTGACAGGCTCCAGGTTGCAACCACAAATCACTGGAAGCGTAATACCCACAGTAAGAGAAATTACAATGGTCACACAGAGAGGTGATGTACATTGAGATCTACCTCTGCTTCCAACCAGAAGATCAGCTTCCTGTGCCCTGTTTCACAGCACACTAACTGGCACTTCTCAGCTGTCTACAATGAAAATGCTGAAGTTTTGCTCATGTCGTAACCCTTTCAGCCATAAAAGTCATAACGTGTGCATATTTTTATGATGCTAAGCACATGTGAATGTCCAGAAGTCTGTATCATATTAGAGATCTCTCAAAAGAGATCTGTACATTACCCACACTAAGTCAGGCCAAAAATGAATTCTTAGAGGCTACTAATTCTGTGAGAGGACTCTGCCAAATTTGAGCACAGCAGATGAACAAGAGCCAACGCAGACAGCCAGATCTTTTCAGGAATCTCAAGGGGACATGTAATGGCAATAGTATCACTAAAGAAGATTTTTGTATTCTGACAACCAGGAAGAGTGGAACAGAGAACGCTGTAGATCAAGCAAATCAAGCACTTGAGAGAAAAGGACAGGGTCTGGGCACAAAGGGAAGAAATGAAGAGATGGGATTTAGAGGGAAGACAGTTAAAAGGACGCAGTTGAGAAGAGGAAGGCAAGGGATAAGGGAGACAGTAAAGAACAGGAGCTAGAATTACAGAAAGGTTTACTCTCTAAACATTGCTAACACTATCAATGGAAATGTAATATCTTGTAGTCCGTTTGTAATGTACAGCAGATGTGCTGTGCTTGCAACCAAAGCTGTAAACGTAAGACTCCAAAAATGAAATAACTATTGGTAAACATCTTCAAGAAATTCCAAGTTAACAGAGAGATTTCGAGGAAAAATAAAGCCATGGCTTTACGACCACCTGTCTTAATAAATACCATCCTTCGTTTGAGTGAATTCCTCCTCATTATCCTCTCATGGAAACGGCGTACAACACAGTGCATACCAATTCATTCAGTAATGCACTTGAATTGAGCTTCAGCTGTATTAATGGAAGCTCTAACCACTGTGTGAGAAGAACAAAGATATTTTAGATTCTTTTCTATTTCTTGAGAATGTCACACACTGTCGTGGTAGCTTCCCAAAAACATGTGGGCAAGTTTATGGGCTGCAGTGCATTTCTGTGAATTGTATAAATTATATTCTCATTTAAACAATTCTTAAACAAAGAGGAGGAAAGCAGAAAACTGGCACAATGTAAAAGAGTAAGAAACGAACCTTCTGAACTTCTGATTCATTTCTTTCCTTTCTCTTTTAATTGCTTCAATGTTTTTACCATAATTTTGCTGTAATCTGCAATTAATAAAAACAATTTTTAAACAAAAAATTGAATGAATCCATGTCTGTTTTATTGTTATTTGCTTTTAAAACCTTTGAATGCTTTTTTAAAAATATAATTGTTTTACAAGAAAAAAAGAGCGTAAGAATGAAATGTCAACGATGTGTAAAGTAAGCAGCAAGAACTTCGGTAGCTTTTCTCAGAGCAAAGCAAAACAATTTCAAATGAGAATTTCTGCACATAAAGCAGCAACAACTGAGCATGTTAAGGCTTTCCAGATCTGTATTTTAAATCACTTTTTCTACCTATATCTCTTTTGCAGTTAAAAATAAAATTATATAAAATAATACCACTTAAAAATAAAAAATAACACCTGGAAAACAGATAAAATCCAGCATCAGAGAACGGATGTAGAGGTGACTCACACTACTAGCACAAGTCATGATTATCACTGGAGTGTGATTTCTTTTATTGTAACGTCTGACTGTAATTCATTCAATCGTGAGTTTAATATTAGTGTGCAGTAAATGGGCCCTAAGCCTTTCCAAAAAGAATTTGGAATAGAGACACTGTCAAACATCCAACTGCAGCAACACTGCCTGGTGCCATATTAATACTCTGTATTATCTTAATCCCATTGACATGTACTTCTTCATCTCAGCATTTGCTGACTCCATTATCTTGTATGTAGGGATATACTCATGACCTCAAATAGAAGACTAACTTTGCTGTCCTTGATGACTTGATGGGAGTGGATCACGACTGTCTATTTGACATTAGCTCCCTGGGACTTGCTCTGTACACAAATGCATAAAACTAGCTTAGAAAGTAATATAAAGCAGTTATTTGCATAACACCTTCAGGAACATTAGTTTCTAAATGAACACGATCTGAATGTCAGCTTTCACGTTAGTAACTGCTGTGCACTTACTCTATAATCCTCTGAAATCCCTGAGTCCATGTGCCCCTTTCATAGCATCTTGAGAGGTCAGAGCAACTGCTGTGCTACAATTTCAGTCAAAAGAAGGTCTGTGTTTTCAGTTAACTTAGAAGTTGTTTGTGTGCTCAGGCCCAACCAGACACAGCCATACGTGCACTGAACAATATTCACAAGACCTTGTTCTAAAAAGAGACACCATGCCATGCAAAACATTCCTGTTGTGGAAGGACTGAAGTAGTTCTTCCTGATTCTTGGGACTATTGTGCTTCAGCAAGAGGAAAGAGCTCTATGAAATAACTTAATGCTGCAGCAACACCATTCAAGCCAGAGCAGGAAAGCTTAACGTCACTAAACCTGTGAGTCTTGCAGCATATTATATTAGATTTTAAATGCTAATTTTGAGAGGGGAGCCTTGCTGTGGACAAGTCACTTGTTCACACTGTGGCTGCAGTGCAGAAAGCAGGACGAGGGGATATGAAACTGGCTGAGAAGTGCTCCCTGTAAGCACTGCCAATCAGTACTGCTGTCACATATGCACTGCTGCAGCTCTTCCAGCCCCGCTGGGCTTTTTGCTGCATAAAAACCATATCACATAAATGGAAGGCAAAAGTTGAATGGCATTCTTGATCATCTGTCTTATAATTTGCCGTCTGGTTTGGAACTTGTATCAAAACCAGTTAACAGGATTCTGCAAGACACCACATCACAGCCTGTGATAACAGCACCGCAATTACTAAGGAAAGGAATCTTCCACCGCCCTATCAGCAGTACCTCACACCTCTGCAAGCTGTCTCACATGACTGCACTGCCCATTCTAAGATGGGAGGACCGTGCTGTAAATGATACCCTGGGAACTGATGCTCTCAGGGCAGATTTTTTTCCCCTCAGGTCGTCCACTCCTACCAGGAAGGCCCGTAAAGGAACATTTCCTGGAACCCTTTGGTCTCTGCAACACTGAGTTCAGCAGAACCTGGCTTCGACCCCAGCCCATCCGCCCTAGCAACCAGTTCATTCTGTAGGGTAACAGAGCATGAGCTTACATGTAAGACTGCCTTACCCAGAATCTCATATGCTGTTAAGGAACGCATTCCAAATTTATGGTATGTGAAAGATTACTAAGGGAAAAACTGCAAAAGAGTGCGGAAAAAAAAACAACAAAAAGAGTAAGTGAGAAGACACTAAGAAGCTTTCAGAATTAACAGACAAATAAAACGTTTGAAATCCATTTCCAGTGGCAGTGGTTCATGCAGAAGCAACAAACTAGATGAGGATTTATACTAAAGCATTTGGTATATTTATTGGATTTTAACTCCAATGCATTTAGAGAATTGCTATTGTCTCTTAAGCTCTACTCCGTTGGCCAAAATCGCACATTAATATTAAAAGAAGAAAGAAATTCTCTCCCCACAAAAGCATGCCTTTCTGCACTTGGCACACAAGGCTCAAATAACTCAATAAAGATTAGATGTACTTCAAACTGAAGCACACTAGTGCCCAAGCAGCTGTCTTCTTTCCAACCAAGCTGCGTGTGATTTGGGATGGGAGTAGAATATGCTCTATTAGCCAACGACCAAGCCAAATGTGGCTGTATTTTTTTTTTAAACCCAAATTCATTTTTCAAGTAACACTGAAGCAGGTTTGTGTGCAACTCTTATTGCAGTACCCAATAATTACGGAAGGCCTTCTTTTTGCCAGATTTCATATAATGGAGGATTTTTTTAATGTTTGGGTTTTTGTGTATTTTTAATTTTCCAGCTTCTTACCTGTCCCTTACATGTCATACACATATCTAAGGTTGGCTGAGCTGCTCTGAATTCAAAGGGGATTTTTTGTGTGTCTTTCCACCGATTAAACAGCAATAGCAATAGAATTTAATAATTAAATGCTGAAGAGTGTTCCATTGTTTTTCTCCCAGTGAACATCCATCCTTTGTTGTAACCATTCCCTTCTTGTCCAGGCTTCTGTCTTAATTCTTCACTGTACAAAGGTCTTAGGAGACCCTATCCCTGATGAAGGATTCAGAGAGCCACTTTTAAGCAGCAACAGCAGCTGCAGAAATATATATATATTTTGAAGGTCTAAACCTCACTTTACGATATTAAAAACATTCAACTCTAATTTTCATAGCTGACTTACAAGGTCAAACAAGAAACAGAAGCTAAAGTCAGACCCCAAAGAGTGTAGAAAGGCCTCTGCAGAACTTCTGCCTGAAAAAGTTAATGCTCCGCAGTTGAATCATGAACTTAAGCAGAGCCAAATACTATGAATGCAAATATTGGGGAACAAAGAGTTAATGATCAATGGAGACATACCTCCTGAGCTGCTTTAAGTCTGTTATAGGCAGGCCTGCACCCTGTAAAGATATATTCAGTTACATTCCTGTGTAATTCTGTGTAGAGCGCATCCAAGTGTAGCAGCAGCAGAACAGATGATGCGCTTTCACAAGACCTTCCCTATTTTATTTTATTTTTTTCCATTTCAGGCGGCCTTCTGAGAGAATGAGAGGAAGCCTGGGCCTTTTGTTTCTGAAGATCTATAATCTGATGATGGCCAATGGGGAGAGAGTGGGGCACTGTCAGAACTGATTTTCAATACTTCCTCTAGAGGGAATAGGATGGCCAGTGTAAGCGGCTTCAGAAGTCAGACTTACAGGCCTCTCACTATTGTTGCTGAAAAATTCCACTATTTATTGTCTTGCCTGAAATTCATAAAATATTCAACTTCCTTGACTATGAGATTTCAGGGTGCTGCCCTCCAAAGCCACTTTGTGGCGAGTCCTTGTTA